ACAAACTGACAATCTGACACCTTCATAACAAATGTGTAAAAGATTTAATTCAGATATTAGTCCAAAGAGCTGACCTCCTACAGGGTTTTGGACTCAATTTAATCTTGTGTTGTCTTTAAGGATGTAGGGTCAGAACGTCCTTAGTTGCTTCTGACCTTCAGTTTTATGTTTAGGTGTAAATAAAACAAGCTCCAGCAAAATAAAAACTCAAGCATGTGTTCTAAAAAAGCTGCACAACATTAGAAACACATGCTGCTGCATATCATGTTGAGAACCTCAGATGTGATCAATGAGGCTGATCCTTGTGTTATTGTGTTGTTAAAAACACTCCACCACGTTCTGCAGCATCTCCACCAGCATCATCTGATCTGGGAGTGGGTGTGTTTATCAGATTCCACCTTAAAGACCACTGATGTAGAGCTGACACAGCAGACTTCAGTTGTTTTTGATGCTGGTGGGTTTGTGATCTTAATGCAGCTTCATTATGGATTCTATCTGAGTTTCAACAGAGAAAGAGTAGGAAACACTGGCCGGATTCAGATGTTTACATAAAATATACAAAATGTTACGAATTTCCATCTAAGGATCGGTGTTCCCACCACACAAGCTACAAAAGTAAATGATTTGAAAAGACAACAAACCAGTGAAATGTGTGATCTTTACAAATGCTGCAAAAATAATAAAGAGAACAACATCAGTGGCCATTCATTCTATTGGGTGACCTATTACTATTTTTAGTTTTACTATTTGCCTTTGATCATTTGACAAATATGGTTGTTGTTTATCTGTTTAGTTGGACCAGATGATCCAGCTTTAGTTGTTTCTCACCTGGAGAAGACTAATAAAGACGTTTCGTGTTTAAAACGTTTCCAGTCAAAGACAAACAAAGTTATGACTGGATCTGAAGGACAGGACAGGATTATGGTTAGGGGCGTAAAGCTAAAGGCTAAAAGCTCACATTAGTATGTTATTTACCAGGAAACGAAAAATCGGAAATAAACAAACTACTTCATGAAGAATAAATAAATATTTTAATGGCCACTGATCAGTCGACAACCAAATCGAAGTCACAGACCCAAACAGCTCTGCAGCATCGGGTTCTGAAAGAGGCGTTAGCATGACATGCTATATCGGTTTGTTGAGTTCTTACCTCCGATCCGAATCTTTAGTTGTGAGTCAATAAATTCTGACTTTATGTGTGAAGAAAAGTTCGACTAAACAAAATAACAAAACAAAATATAATATAAACAAATAAGTAACTTGTCAAAAGTCCTTTGATGAAAGTTGGCATCAGCAGGTCCGATTATGTCCCTGTCCTCCAGCCCTGTAGGAGGCGCCAAAGGCTTAGAAAGAGTCTGGGAGGCGCTAACGCGGAACAGTAAGCGGAAGTGACGATCCTGGCGGGTATCTGATGGTTTTTAGTCGCTCTGAACCGCAAATAACTCATAATTATCGACTGTGAAATGGGAATGGTGTTTAGGATCGACGAGTAACGGATTAACACAAACAGGATCTGGAGTTTACGGACTGTTCGGCTAACGAGTGTAGGTCAGAATTTTGGTTACGGATTTGGATTAATGTTTGTTTAAACATTAATCCAAGCGTTTTGTTTACTGTTGTGGTCTGCAGCCCCATACCAGTGCTAGCTAGATTTATTCTGAAAAACGTGCAGGCCGCCGGAAACGACTAAATATTCAGACAGAAAATTAAACCAGATGAAACCTACTCTGCATTTTCTACGTCAGACTGCATTTTACCGCTGCAGAAGTCTCTTAGGACTTACTCAGGGTTACAGATGGTCTGTTTAATCTGATTATTCAGTATTATTTTCCAGATGTGGGAGCCATCGCTGTTCTCCGTCACTCCAGCTGCCAGCTTGCTGTCCAGATGTGTCTCAGTAGGAGCTGTGTCTCAGGTCAGGACTCCACAGGCAGCTAATCCAGTCACACCACCCTGAGGGTTTGAAGGAGATGCTGTTCTGAACGCATTTTAGGGAGATGGTCCATGCATCCTGTTCTTGTCTCATATTTGGCTCAACTTGTGTCCTTGTTGCCTCGATCATCACTAGTGAACCAATCTAAGGATAGATAATCGACACCTTTCTAAAAAACAAAATAAACTTTGAGATTTGCAGAAAGAAATATGACACATCTTGCAGATGAGGAGGCTGGCGGCTCAGCCGATGAGATGGTAAAAACATTTACAGACTTGTAGACCCTTCTGATCACACTCACTCAAAAACAACCTGCCCCCACCACCGTCTCTGACCAATACGTTCTTGTGAATGTCTTCAAATTACTAATTGGTGCATTAATTGTCTTGCATACAACAGCACATCCAGTCCTAATCGGACCAACAGCTATTTATTGTCGCGGTGCAGAATCAAGCCGTTGTAAACCGGGCCAGGGGTGCACATGCCGGGTTTCTGGCAGTGGGAATTAGCTGAGTAGTGGGCTGACATTTGTTTGATATGATGAAGATCGTGTGTCATTTCCTGCAAAAAGCTCCTATCTACGCGTTTCTGAATCGGTCAAACACAAACAGAAAATAAACAGACTGCCGGTCTCAGCAGAGTCAGGCCTCTGCCATGTTGCTCCACCGTGGGTCGGGTCACAAAACATTTAGGACCTCCAAATCAACTCCAAACATCTGCTTTTATCACAGTTGCTGTTTTTCAGCAAAGTGAAGAATCAAAACCTGTCCATTATATGGAAAATAGTTGTTTGTCACGTTAATCTTATTATATTTTCACTAGTTAAGCTGATTTTGGTCAGGTCCTGAACCGGTACGACCCAGGTACTGACCTGGGTCCAGTCTGGAGATGATTTTATGCGTGGATGTGTTTTCAGGATGAAATCGACGCTGCCTTCTCCAGCCCAAACCCTGTGTTCTCCACGCGCCTGCAGGAGACAGAAGAGATGATCAGGAACCAGAAACAGCTGGATGAGGTGAGCTACAGATGTTGTCATTCAACAGTCGGAAACAACAGCATACACTGTTTGGTAAGGAGGAGATGGGTTTACCTCCCGTAAAGCTTTTAGTTCTGCTGCCACGTGCAGAACGAACACATCTCTGCAGCCGTTATCCCTGGAATCTGATACTTTTCTCTGAAATAAAACTTCACTTCAGCTCATTTTAAATTGTCATGCAGCTCAGTGGAGGATGAGAAGAGCTATTGAATTAGTTGATGTCAAGACCCGTGCTGCGCAGTGGTGCAGTGGTTAGAGCTGTTGCCTTGCAACAAGAAGGTCCTGGGTTCGCTTCCCGGCCTGGGATCTTTCTGCATGGAGTTTGCATGTTCTCCCTGTGGATGTGTGGGTTCTCTCCGGGTACTCCGGCTTCCTCCCACAGTCCAAAAACATGACTGTTAGGTTAACTGGTCTGTCTAAAATGTCCTTAGGTGTGAGTGAGTGTGTGCATGATTGTTCGTCCTGTGTGTCTCTGTGTTGCCCTGCGATGGACTGGCTCTCTGTCCAGGGTGTACCCCACCTAGTTGCCCATTAACCGCTGGAGATAGGCACCAGCAGCCCCCCCCCCCCCCCCCCCCCCCCCCCCCGGCGACCCTACATGGACAAGCGGGTTCATAAAATGGATGGATGGATGGATGTCAAGACCCAGAGCTTCGTGACAGGTCTGGTCCAGGATCAAAGGTTTCCTGTAAAAACCTGACCATTTTTGTTGGTTCTGATTCAGTTGCAGCTGGAGTTGGAGCTGCTGAAGATGGAAGAACGGAGCGCTGATGTCTCTCATGATTTCCATCTTGGTGAGTTTAAACCTCAACTGGCTTTCTCCCATTCTCAGTAGAACAGAATAGACTTAATTAATCCCACCACAGGGAAATTCACTCGTTGCTGCAGCACATACACGTGGAGAAAAGGAAGAAAAGAAATTATGTTGTTTTTTCTTTTTGAAGGTAATTAGAATCTGTTTGGTTTATTTAGCAGCGATCTCAACACAAGTCAGTTCTGAATGCAAAAGTAAAAATAGTCAATTCAATCATTCTAAATGTTAAAGTGAAAGAAGACAGCAGATCGCATCAAATTTTGTTTTAGATTTATTCTAGTGACTTGATGGGTAAAACTCCTTGGGGCATTGTTAAACCTTGAGTGAGACACACACACACACACACATACACACACATAGTATTTTCTGTCTGTATGGTGGAGAGATAAATGAAATAACAGGAAGGAAGTCAGAAAAGCTGTTTGTGACTTTATTTAACCTTTGAGACATCTATAACAACAACAACAACGCTTTAGTTAAACAACTGATGAGTTTCTGTCCTCCCTGTGGAGACGACCAGAAACATCCATAACCACCTTTACTTTCATTGCTGATAAACATTTGGTTAAAAAAAAGTTATTCCATCAAACATGAAGAAACGAGTGGGCGGTTGTATTTGGGTCAGCAGCTTGTCTGATTCCAGATCAGAAGAACAAGAGGCTGCAGCTGTTCGCTTGTCATCTCCTTGATCTGCTGAGGGAGCAAAGGACTCTGAGACAGAGACTGATGCGACCGCTGGCTCGGACCAACCTGCCTGTCCCGGCCCACATGCAGAGGTCAGAATGGTTCCACAACAGCTTGACCTGAGACCAGTCTCTGAGGCGTTGTTGACACGAAGTTGTCTGGTTTGGGTTACAGTTTTATGGTGAGATCCGTGGAGCTGATGATGGACTTCGTGGCGTGTCTGGAGGAGAAGCTGAGGTCAGCCCAGATCCAGACCACCACCGCCGACAGCCTCACCCTGCTGGTCAGTTACATAAGCAGACTTTTCTCAGATTACCTGAATAACAGGTACATTAAATGTGAGGGCCTTTGTTCTGAATTTGTTGCTTTTCAAAAGGGGTGCCACAGGGCTCAGTATTGGGACCCATCCTAGTTATTTTGTACATCAGTGTCCGGGTTCAAGATGTTTCTGATACTAATATGCACTTCTATGCTGATGATGGTTATTTACATTTTTGGACTATCACTTTCTCAGGTCATAGAAACCCTGCAGAAAACTCACTTCAGTTAAAACTAGTCCTCAGTGGGGACGAGGCTAAGCTAATATTCTTTTCTAACAAGAGCGTTACTCCAGTAGGGACCACTCCTGGTAAAGTTGGTTCATGAATACAAGTACCTTGGAACTGATGACTCCCTCACTTTTAAAGCACACGCAGGAAAACTTGTGAAGAAATTTAAACTTAAGTTAGGCTTTTCCTTCCATGATGTTTTTTTTTTTGTTTTTATTTTGGAGTAAAAAAAAGCCTCGACACGGCAACTTTTTCATCTGTGCCAGATTATCGTGGTCCTTTTTCATGTGAATCGGTGGCGGCTGGTGAATTTATTTTTTGGTAGGGCTCAAATTAACAAGTGGTGTGCCAAAAAGAGCATGCCAGCTGAGATTTGCATGACTTGTTATGGGAAGGTGCATATAAATAATGAGATTTTTTTAACAAATATGTACTATGTTTATGTTTATGTATTTGGCAGACACATTTTTCCAAAGCGACATACAAGTTATAATCGGCATGTTGCCCTTGAGGCCAACAACAACAATAACAACAACAACAACAAACAATTTCCAGTCAGTCGTAGGTGGCAGTGAGGCAGCATGATGAATCATGGAGAGGAGGGAACCAGGAGTGGACAGTAGAGAGTTTTTAACATGCTTCTTATCCATTTGCTTCCTTACACAATGATGCTCTATGGGCAGAAATAAATTTAAAAAATGACAGTTTATTTGAAAAAAATTTTTTTTTTTGTCTTTTTGAATCACATTCCTGTTTCTTTAAACCAACTGCAAAATTCAGGCAGGCAGAAAAAATTATATGAAAATACACACTAAACATTAGTCTCTAATGTGTTTAAATAAAACATGTCAAAAACGTAAATGTTCATTATTACATCATATTTCTAGTCAAAAACAAAATGTTTTCAGGAGACACATTGATTAGAAAAGTGTTAACATTATGAATGTATTAAAAATCGCCTCATCGCTCATAATTCTAATAGTTAAGTCTGAAATTTGTGTTTGGGATGACTGGGCTGATTTTAGATGTGCTTTCCACATTTCACCACCAGGGAACGCCAAATCACCATTCTTATGTCACACCGACAGTCCAGTATCAGCAAACTTGTTCCAAAAAAACATGCTCAATATTTATCAATATATGCAAATTCAGCAAAGCTAAAAGCATCAGTTCAGTCTTTCCTTTGCTGGTTTAAGGTAATAATCAGAGTTCTAGTAAAAATAATCCACTTTTTTACATGCAGGAGAGAGTTCAAAAGTCTCTGATGCCACATTCCATCATTTTCTGGTTCTTCATAATAACAAAACTCCTTGAGGTGGTCTCAGCTGCTCTACAACAGCACAGGACGGTGAACTGTGGAGAATTTCCAGTTCTGTCCTGACCTGAGCCGAGACTCTTGTCTTCAAATGTTGGACTCAGTTTATGATGCTTCTTTAAAGTGTATCACTGACTAGAGAACGGTGACACGTGACGCATCACTGGGGTTGGTACTCATGAGTAGGGATGAGTACCGAATTCGGTACTTTTTAAGGTACCGACCGAATTCCATAGAACTACCGAACACCGATTCACGTCATTTCAAACGGTGCCTCGTTTCGGTACTGCCAAGACAGTTGCGCATGCGCAAGAGCGTTATGTCGCCGGTCCCTGCGAGCCCGTTGTAAACAGAGCAAGCATGGTAGAAAGAACGCACGCTAAAGCTTGGGTCCACTTCACTAAATGTGATGGGTAACTGGGTGATGAAACTAGCGACAGACAACGATCTAAGTGAGACATCCTCATCTTAATCTGCTCCAGTAGGTAAATAAAATGTTTAAGATAACGTTACCTTGATTTGTTAGCTTCCGTTTCGCTAATGGTGCGTTCGCTTTCTCCTCGGAACTCCGAATTTCCGACTAGAAGAACATGAACGCGCTCTAAAGTTTGGCTTTACTTTACTAAATGCGACGGGTGATTGGGTGAAGGTAAAACCAGTGACAACGATCTAAGTTTGAGGCATCATCGTTTTAATCTGCTCCAGCAGCTAAATAAACCGTTAAAGATAACGTTAGCTTGATATGTTGGCTTCCATTGCCACCATTGTTATCAGCTAATGGTGCGTTCGCTTTCTCCTCGGAAATTCTAACTTCCCAGTAGGAAAAATCAAATGAAAAAGGACGGCAAAAGGAATGAAGATACACAGTAAATTTAGTTCACAGTAAAGATGTTTGCTTCAGTTTAACTATCAGCTTATAAAACTACAAGGACGATGTTAAAATACAAACTTGTATGTTATTTATCATGATATTTATCAAATATGGTTATATATTGAGAAAAATATATATTTAATTATAAAAGAGAATTAAAATAATAAACACTCAAAAGTATCGAAAATTGGTACCGTTAAGTACCGGTATCGACTCGTAGGTACCGGGAATTAGTACCGGATCGATTCAAATGTCAAAGGTACCCATCCCTACTCATGAGTGGAATGGTTGTCATTGGCCTCTGGAAGGCAGGGTCTACGATGTACAGGTGAAACTTAAATAATTAGAATATGGTGCAAAAGTATATTTGTGTCAGTGTTTAATCTTAGACTGAGAGACCATCTAAAGGCTCAGGAACCCTCTGTGTTCTTGATTCGTCAGCTGCAATTAGAGTGTGCCACTTGGAACATTTTCATAATTTTCTATTTGAGATTTTGAATGTTTTCATAAGCTGTGAGCCGCAATCGTCACAACTCTAAAGGCTTCAAATATCAGACCATCTCATATGTTAGTTTAATGTTTTAAGTGAAATTACTGACATAAATGAACTTTTGCACCATATTCTGATTGATTTAGTTTCACCTGTATTTATTTACAAGGCTAGGCTTGGGTTACTGCCTCCTTACATGTGCATTTTCATCGCACTCCGACTCCTGAAGATCTAGTGATCAGCTGTTGCTCTCTGTCCCTTTTGTCTGCACAGTTTGAGAAGAAACTTTCTCGGGCCATTAAAACCCTGCAGAAAGCTTTTGTTAATATCCAGTATTCACTTCTCATGCACCCCTCTTTGCTTGGAACTATCTGCAGAACGACTGGAAATGTATTGACTTATTCACAAATCTGAAAGACATCCTCAAAACTTTATATTTTTTACAATCTGTGTTAAAGTTTTAATAAAAAATAAAGTCATTTAAAGGCAAAAAGTCACCATTAGTCTGGCAGAAGCAGCTTTAATCACTTGTTTTCATTTAATTAAAAGATAACTTAATGTTTTACATCCGTTCCTGTCCAGGTAAGTTCCAGTTTGAGGTCACTGAGTAAATCTTTCTAATGCTGATCCGAGTCCAGTACTGCCACCTGTATAGGAAAGCTTGTGATGCCTTTAATCACTGCAGGTAATTTAGAGCATTCTAAGGGGTTTTGGTATATTTTAAGTTAACCTTATTTGCATACAGCTGTTTTTGATCTCCTCTCTTCTTAATTGATCTCTCTCTGCATCAGGAAACGTCACACTCCCTTATGTTGACCTTAGCAGCAGACGTGGAGGCTGCGTTTATGCAGATTCTGCAGAAGAGGAAGAGTAGCAGCCAGCAGGAGGCGTCAGAGGCTCATCAGCGCTCCCTTTACACAACTTGCTGTGATGTCACCAAGTTGCACAAATATTAGATTGCACTTTTTTAAGGAATGTAATAAAATGTGTTGTTCATGTGGAGGCTTCCTGATATATATATTTTTTGTTATGCCTTCAGCATTTTGTCTCAAAGGCACCAGGTCCAGGAGGGTAACCCAGACCATCCTCTTCTCAGCATTCATGTATACCTGTAGATTTTATCGGGTTGGTTCTGGGGCAGAATTGGGTCTGAGGTTAGAGGTTTTATAATCTGGAAGAAGAAACCTGATCAAGCTTTTTGGTTTGAGATTATTAGGTTGTTTTTGCTCAACCTGAATTATAATCCAGTGTTTACAGAAATATTAATCTACATGGATCAGTTGAACGGTTGTAAACACTCAGGAACAGGAAGTCTTGAACCCTGTATTAACTGACTAGAAGAACATTTCAGATCTTTTAGTGTTTCTAAGAACAGGAAACAGATTAGTTCTGACTGGACAGATGAGCTGTGGTCTTCTTCCAACGTGTTTCTGCCTTTTTAAAACCACTCTTAGACATTTCAAATGTAATGGGAGATATTTTATAAAAATGTACATAACCATAAAGTAGATGTTACATATTGTTTCACAGAGAATTCTGAGATTATGTTTTCCCTGAATACAGTAAAGGAATGGGACATATTTATGAAATAACTTCTGTGGAGTTCTTGGTGTTAAAATTGTTTTAGGCCTTTTGTAAGTAGCCTGGCCTGCCAAACTCGTCATCTGTTTAATTCTGCACAGAGAAAGAGTCCGGTAACTCGCAGGCAGAGAGCAAAGGCAGCTCAAAAGTGACCAATCAGAAAAAAGATGAAAATGCAGTTTTCTAGCTGTAGTAAAAAATAAAAAAAAGGCATCTGGCAACGGTGTAAACATCTTTTTTTTTTTTTTTGTAGAGGAAATGCTTTTCGCGCTTCTACTTGTGGTTTTAAAGACATTTGAGTCATTTAGAACAGAGGAAAGAGCCACCGCGAACTCCGCCGCTGTCTTCGTTGTTTATGAGAAACTGAGCGTTGCTGTGTGTGTGTGATGTCCATGACGCTGTAATCAAAAATGGAGTCTGGCGACAGCGCAAACATCTTCCTTTAGAAACAAGGCTTTTAGCGCTTCTACTTGTTTTAAAGACGTGTCCAAGTCATTTAGACCAGAGGAAAGAGACGCAGCAAACTCCGCTTCAGTCGCCATGTTCGACAAACTCGGCGTTATGGTGTGTGACGAACGCTACTCGGCTCTGATTGGTTCGGTTAGAATTCTCACAGGGTGGGGTTATTTGAATAGAGTTCCCAGACCCTTTCTCTGTGTGTGGAGCAGAGTCAGGTAGCTGCATGTCTGGGACAGAAAATGGGACATGAGAGACGTCTGAAGTGTTGAATAAACTCACAACAAAGAATCACAGATGTTGATATTTCTCACTCTAGATTCTCCGGGTCAAAAGTTCTGAATTACTTATCGAATAAAAATAATTCAAACGGTTTCTAAAAGTACATAAAATGAGCTTTCCAACGAGGTACATGATGTAATTCATGTTACTCCAAAAATCGCTATCAGAAGGAAACCAGCTTTGCAGCGTCACAGAAAGAAACGGAGCGAACCGCGACGGGAGAGCAGAGAACCAAAGGGAGGAGACAGTCTGATCATCTTCATCAGCAGCTTTTATAAAGTTATGCAAATAAAATCCACCTGGTTGGTCAGGTGTCCCAGAAGGCTGTTTCTGTAGATGGTGACATGAGGAGGGACAGATTACTGTCACACTGGTTTTTATTTGAACACTCAACTGTTTACTAAATGATTCAGCTTCATTCCAGCATTATTTATACGTACAATAAATATTTATTTAGCTGAAAATATAATGTTATCAGTGCAGAATTTTATTAGTTGACTTTTTGTAATGAAATGTTTAGATTTAACCTTTTATCTGCTTATTGATCTTCATAATGCTGGTAGAAATGCAGCTACAGCTGTGAAGTAGCCTGTGGGTGTTATTTTATGATACCTAGTATTTATGTTACTGTATCCCGTTCTCTGGACCAGAGCATAGACCTGTGGTCACAGACAGTCATTAAACTGGTAATTGTGAGGTCAGGGGTCACACTTTTTTCTGAGTGTTTGCAACACAGTTCTGAGTTTAAATACCGGTAGTTCTTTTGACATAGTTTGCTCAAGTCATTTTGAAGTTCCTGTTTAGTAATAAATGTAAAGAAAATTCAATTCTGTTTTTTTTTTCATTTAAGCTGCAGTTTTACAGACTTTAATAAACATAAACACTAAATACAAACAGACACTGAAAGCTGAGGTTGTTCTGAAAAAAGGAGCAGAGTTACAAACATTTTACACTTTTTGTTACAATTTTAAAGCCATAAAACAAAATAAACTGTTATATTTATGGTCATAAGAGGGTTAAACATGATAAATTTTCCACCTCCCACAAAGAGATGGTAAAAGTGAATGTGAGCATAAATATATACATTTCATTACTTTATTGTGTATTTTTTATTATTGACAATTACTCCAAAGGGTTCAAATAAAGGCAACTGGACTTCTTTGGTTTCTTTAAAACGTTTCACTTCTCCTCTGAGGAGCTTTGTCAGTTCTAACTGGAATATGGGAGAGCCAAGCTTATAAACTGTAGCTGTCCGTTGTTATTTAAAGAGCAGAAACTACTCTGAGTACCCCGCCTCTCCATCTCCTGATGAGTCGTTAGCCTCTATTGATGGTGAGTCATCGTGTTGATTAGATGCAGGAAGGTGTGACCTAGACTGAAATTGAATGAGATCCAAAGCTGCGTACTGGAAAGGTGAAACCTAAGCCCCTCCCCTATTTAAAGTGGGGTTTTCCATGTTTTACATCGATAGCTTCTTTTACTCCTCTCTCAAATCATCTATCTTCTCTGTCCAGAATGTGGACTTTGTCATCTTCAAAGGTGTGTCCCTTGTCCTTCAGGTGAAAGTGGACTGCAGAGCTTTGACCTGAAGAGGTGGCATTTTTTCATTTATCACTCAAATTGTATCCTTCCCTGTGTTCAATAAAGTTTTTAAGTCATGACGTGTTCTGATCACGTGGCGCTGTGTTTCCGGTTGAGTAGATTTTTAGATGACGCTTTTCTGGTGGAGTCTGGTTAATCTTTGACACTCGGTAAGACTCCCAAACTTCATATTTATCTGTCTGATTCTCCGTTGCGGTATTTTACAATCCTTATTCATCTAGCCGCTTGAATATTTAAATGTGTTGCTTCAACCATTTCTGTCTAAATTCACGAGTAACGGCTGAATGTCTGCTAGTGCTTGCAGCTAACTGCTAATGTTAGCGCAGCTGTAAACATCTGAAGTGTTTGAAGCAGCTGTCTGAAAAAACGAACCGACAGCATGCTTTTCGATGCGTCTGACGTTGTGTTGTTCTGGGTAAAGATGTGTATTGTTTACCAATGTTTGTTTGCAGTTTTCATTGCAATAATAACTAGTTTCATTAAGCAACCAGACTGTTTTTTTGCACAATGCTTTATACAAACTGGTGTAGCACGGTGATTAAACACGTAACAGGTGGGAAGAATTCAGTTGGAAGCAGCAAAAAGAAAATCTACCAGCTCTGAAACCAGCAGTGATAATAGTCTTATGAATAATAGTAATAATTATTATAATAAATCAATTGAGGAACTTTATAAACAAAAAAGTATTCACATTAGAGTTTAGTTCTCAGTAAACTCAGGTAATCTGAAAACAACGGAGGCAATCATAATAAAAATCTGATAGTATTCAAAGGGTACTAAAAGATAATTTAAAACTTAAAATAAAATAGTCTAAAATAGTAAAGTAAAATACTGGAGACAAATAAAAAATCACCTGGATATCAAAGGTATTGACTTACTCTCTAGTAATTTCTTTCGTATTATCGTTGCTGCAGGCCCTTCTGTGTGATGTAAGCTGTTTAAGCAAAACAGGAGAGGCGAGGCGGGGGACAATATTGAGTTCGAGTGGGCCATGTGCCAGGCTTCCATTGTCGGAGTGGTGGTCGCAGGGTCGTAGGTGCCTGTCATGGTAGCAATCCCAGAACCTTCTGGCGATTAGGGATGCCATCAAGCTGAAGAAAATCTTTTTGGCCTGTGGGACTCCAGACACAGCTGAACCGGCAGTCCAAGCGGAATGTGGCCTGTGTGTCACTGGTCACCAAGGCAAAAACCCGGGCGTGGGGGGAGTTCGGTGAGACCATGGAGCAAGACTTCCATGCGGCTTTGAGGAGATTCTGGTCTATCATCCGGCGCCTAAGGAGGGGAAAGTAGTGCGCTACCAACACTGTTTATAGTGGGGATGGTGTGCTGATGATATCGACTCGGGATGCTGTGAATCGGTGGGTGGTGGAGTACTTCGAAGACCTCCTCAATCCCATCGGCACGTCTTCCAGTGAGGAAGCAGGGTCTGGGGACTTTGGGTTGGACTTTCCAATCTCTGATGATGGTCACTGAGGTGGTCAAAAAACTTCTCAGTGGCAAGGCTCCAGGGGTGGATGAGATTTGCCCAGAGTTGCTTACTGCATTGCCGGCAGTAAGTTGTGCTTGTTTCTGGTGAGAGTTGGACTCCGCCAAGGCTGCTCTTTGTCACCTATTCTGGATTTCTAGGCACAGCCAAGGTGTTGTTCAGGCGATCCGTTTTGGTGGTCTAAGAATTGTTTCTGGTTTTTGCAGATGATATGTAGCCTAGTGAACTAGACCAAATTCTTGCTTTGCAAAGAATGGTCTAGGCGTGCTCCATTGGAACCTCAGCAGCTCCTACCAGGACTCTGGCTAGCCAATCACAGCTCTCTAGAGGGGTTTCAAACACATAAAGAGCTGTGATTGGTCCATAATGGTGGGCCAATCATAGTGCTCTATCTGCTTAGTGAACAAATCACAGAGCTTTATCCGCTTTGTGGGCCAATCAGGGCACTCTATATGCCTGGTGGGTGGGATGATGCAACAGAGTGAAACAAGAGTATGTCACATTCATTGTCCAGTGGAATGTGGAGATCATTTGAAAGACAACGGTAGAACCCGCCCCACAACCGAGAGCCGTCAATGGAGCATGGCCAGACTAAATCATGCATTTATTTAGTCTGGTTTAGTCTGGCTTGCCAGGCTAGATGATATGGTCCTGTTGGCTTCATCAGAACGTGATCTTGGGCTTTTGCTGGAGCGGTTCGCAACCGAGTGTGAAGCAGCTGGAAAGAGAATCAGTTCCTCTAAATCCGAGACCATGGTTTTGAGTCGGAAAAGGGTAGAATGCCTTCTCCAGGTCAGGGATGAGGTCCTGCCCCAAGTGGAGGAGTTTAGGTATTTCAGGGTCTTGTTCACGAGTGAGGGAAAGCTGGAACGTGAGATCGATAGGCGGATTGGTGCGGAGTCTGCAGTGATGTGGGCGTTTTACCGCTCTGTTGTGGTGGAGAGAGCTGAGCCAGAAGGCAAAGCTCTCGATTAACCGGTCGATCTATGTTCCTACCCTCACCTATGGTCACAAGCTTTGAGTAGTAACCAAAAGAATAAAATCAAGGATTCAAGCGGCCGAAATGAGTTTTCTCCGCAGGGTGGCTGGGCTCTCCCTTAGAGATAGGGTGAGAAGCTTGGTCATCCTGGAGGGGCTCAAAGTAGAGTCGCTGCTCCTCCACATCGAGAGGAGCCAGTTGAGTTGGCTCAGGCATCTGGTCAGGACGCCTCCTGCATGCCTCCCTGATGAGGTATTCCAGGCACGTCCAACCGGGAGAACGCTGGAGGGACTATGTCTCTCGGTTGGCCAGGGAACGCCGTAGGATTCCCCCAGAGGAGCTGGTCCAAGTGGCTGGGGAAAGGGAAGTCTGGGCCTCCCTGCTTAGGCTGCTGCCCCAGCCACCCGACCCCGGATAAGAGTCCGAAAATGGATGGATGGAGGAGAGTTACCAGAACTAACTGAGACAGAACCACTGCAGGAAGATCTGACCTGAGAAATATGTTGCCTGGGTTAGAAGGGCTGTTGTAAACAAATCAAAGGTTTGGGAAGACCTGCTTCCAGACCTCTTTAATCCAAGTCTGGTTCAAGTCTGTTCTTCTGTATGGCTGAAAATTTTTAGGAAAATATTCAATCACGATGTTTGTTCTACTCTATTAATGCAAGGAGAAAAACTGAAGGTCCAAAAACTAGAGATGTCCCGATACAACCCTTTCACTTCCGATACGATACAGATATTGCAGCCTTCAGTATTGACTGATACTGATATCAATCCTTTATGACATCGGCTTCCAATATCAATATTGAATCGGGACATCTCTACAAAAACAATAGATCGTTCAGCCCTTGTGTGCACCCGTGAGGTCTGAAACCATTCTCCAGTCTTACGCATTTGAAGCACGTGAAACAATTTAAGTGACAGAAGAAAGTGTCTTATTTTTATTTGTAGATGATTGATGACTGCCTGTTGAACTCATTCTTGCTTTTGTTTGTGTTTTTTTTTTTGTTAAAATTAATCATTAATTAATTATTACTCATGTCTGGTGCCCAGTTGAATTTTCCTAGGTTTGTTTGTCAAGTTTATGAGATGATGGTGGCTCAGAAGTTCAGAGTTCTCATTGGGAGTTTTTCTGATAACCTTAGGTCACTGGTTCACTGCCCCACTCTGTCCATGATAACCGTTGTGTCCTTGGGCAGGACACTTCACCCTACTTGGCTGTTGATGCTGGTTGGACCTATGGTACAGCTTCTATGGCAGCCTTACACGTTATCACGTTTGATAGATGTGGCTACATTGTATCTCATCATCATTAGCTTTGGGGTCCTTGGACTTGATTAAGCACCATAAAAGCACAGGCCACTGAATGGTTAGATTTACTCTGTGGGAAAATATGTGGAAAAAAGTGTATTAAGATAAAAAATAACAGTCAAAAACATTTTAGGAGCAATAGTGTCGCACGCAATCGTTCTCCTTGGATCAACCAAATTTGAACCGTTTTAACATGAATCTGAAGAGAAGTAATAGAAATGCATAAAATATAGTTATAATCCGGATAGAAGATGAATGTTCTAGTCATTCTCTTATCTTGTTCTGTTTGTGTCTTTGTTTTGATTCTTATTTAGCACACAAAGGTCACCTGAATCTGTCTCTTCTCCTCTCCTACAGGACGATTGTGGCACAGATCCGTTCTAGTCAGCTGAATCACTGAAGACATTTATTTGGAGGGTTTCTCTCCACCGAACACAGTCGTCAACAAAGTAAGTGACATATTTTTACGTCGTAATCAGCTGAATGTATGGTGTAAAAATTAAAGAATAGACCCACAGAGGCTGTGAATTAGATCTTTAGTGAGACTTGACACAGCTGCAGTCGCACCGGCAGGAGTAGGCCCTCACAGGGTTTACTGCTGACGTGGTAGGAGCTGATCTATCTGTTAGCAGGTTATTCACATGCGCTTCTTTTCAGGATCACTTCAGAGTGCCAAAATGGTGCTTGCTGACTTGGGGAGGAAGATCACGTCGGCGCTGAGGTCACTCAGCAATGCCACAATCATCAATGAAGAAGTAAGTGATCACAAAAGTTTAATCCACATGCCACCAAGACCTCTGCGCTGATCTCAGACTGCAGGCTGGAGTGAAGGTTCTGGACTAGTTAGCTGAACGGCCCGGGTTTGTTTCCAGGTGTTGAATGCCATGCTGAAGGAGGTATGTGCTGCTCTTCTGGAGGCAGATGTTAACATCAAACTGGTCAAACAACTGAGAGAGAATGTCAAGTGAGTCAGATGCACATCTGTCTCATCCCAGGTCTTGTTTGGACCCAAAGACAGACCAGTTCCCTCTATTGTTGCTTTTTTTTCCAGGTCTGCCATTGACCTGGAGGAGATGGCTTCAGGCCTGAACAAGAGAAGGATGATTCAACATGCTGTCTTCAAGGAGCTGGTGAAGGTGAGATCAGCAGGCTGAAGTTTACAGCGTCAGTCACCTGTGACACATATGTCATGTCTGACATGTTGTTTCAGCTGGTCGACCCAGGTGTGAAGGCCTGGACTCCCACTAAAGGCAAGAACAATGTCATCATGTTTGTTGGTCTCCAGGGCAGCGGGAAAACCACCACCTGTTCCAAGGTGAGGCCACTATCGTGTTTTCTACCAGCTGCTGAACTCTACTCGGTTTATATCTATAGACATGGAAGGGGCTCTAGACTAAGGTTTGGTGGTTGAATGAACTTTTCGACCATTGGCGATAGTCCAAGCACTTTGCCCATCGTTTATTTATTTGTTTTACAAGTGATAAATACTTCCTGTTTGTAAATTAGTCCGGCAAATGGAACATTTAAAACCTCCATGTCAAATCAGTCTTTTTAACATGACTCGCTGTACGTACTTGAACTTGTTACACCTCATTTGAAAGCTAGGAGTCATGTGACTCTATTGATGCTTTGGTGCCAAAGTTCATCTCTTACTAAATAGACTATTTACTAAGAAATCACAATGTAACCATACAAACACTACTTGGTGTGCATGCGTGCGTGTATGCATTCCCAGAATTCAGTTCTTACAGGAAGTGAGGTGTGTGTGCCTGCTCTGTCTTCTCCATCCCCAGTGAGTCGTGGAGGATGGCTGCTCATACTGAGCCAGGATCCTCTGGAGGTTTCTTCCTGTCAAAAGGGAGTTTTCCTCTCCACTGTCGCTAAGTGCTTGCTTAGTATGAGGATTGCTGTAAAGACTCTGACACTAGTCCGTGACTCGATGCGATTTGCTGGGTTCCTTATAGAGGAAATTTTTAGTGATTGGCTTAATGAACTGACCTGAATTGGAATGTTTACTATGTGAAGTGCCTTGAGACGACTCTTGTCGTGATTTGGCGCTTTATAAATAAACTTAAATTGAATTCACGGTCTATTTCTGTCTGTTAGGTTACTTTAGCGTTTCTGTGTGATGGTCTAAAGCAGGGGTGTCAAACTCAAACTCACAAGGGGCCAAAATGAAACTCTGGGACGGAGTCGAGGGCCAAACTTAATATTTTTTGAAAAAGTGACGGCAAATTTGTACATTTTCTTTATCAACATGTATGCAATTTTGAACCTTTTAGTTTGGAAACAAACTTATTTCTGCATTAACACTGAATGTGGAATAACCATATTACACACGAGCAAGTCCGTTTTAAATAAAAGGCATCAGAGGTATTCATTACTTGTGGTATAATCAGCATTTTTAAAATCTATTCAGGATTTATGTTTTCTTATTTATTCATTTTTCTTATTTTTATTCTTTTTTTCTCCTGTAATATGTGTCATCGCTGCTGTGACGTCTAGCTTTCCCCACTGAGGAACAATAAAGGGATTTTCTATTCTATTCATCTGTCTGCAGCCTTTCCACTTCCTGTTTACTGTAGGTTAAATCTTTTCTCACGGGCCAACAACAAAATAAAAATATCATTTTATCTTAAATGAAAATGCAACATCTCACCTGTTAACTTTCATGCTTTGGAGCAGAAAAAGAGCATAAAACCAACATATTTAAAGCTCAGTTTGTTCCACTGGTTTACTGTGATGCTCACCTGTTCCAGCCAGATACCTGCATCATGGGGTTGATCTGAGCTGAGGAGGAGACTCCTGTTGTTTTGTTCATCTTCATCATAATAATGACAACATTAGATGACAACAGGTGCTCACATAGATTTGTGCTGCTGAACATGGAGAGCGTCTGAGCAGCTTGACCACGTCGTTGTGTGTCGGGGAGGAAAAATAAAAACGACAGCAACCACAGAGTCATGCTGGTTTGAGCGTGTCGCTGGAGTTATATCAGCTCTGTCTGGACGTTAGTTGGAGAACTTTCTCTTTAAGTCGTGAACACATTACTGAGCGGTTAAAATCTGTGTTTCTGGCCTTCAACGTCGGAAAACAGCTGAGTGAACTCGGCGCTGAGTGAGAGGAGTGTTTAGTTTGTCCGAGACAGCGGAGCTGCAGAGACCGGCAGCAGACGCTGAAAAAACAAAGGAGGGGGCGCTTCAACTTCGCGCTCGCGCCGCAAAGCATCATGGGAGTTGTAGTCTTTGCGTTAAAATCGGCCAGCGGGTCAGTTTTAATACATTTTTGATATTTATCTTGCGGGCCACATAAAAATGCTCCGTGGACCAGATGTGGCCTGCGAGCCTTGTGTCTGACACATGTGGTCTAAAGATTGTGGGGTTGAAGGAGCTCTATCATAAACTGTCCCTTCATGGCCTTCTCTCTGGGTTCTCTGCACTGATTTGTCTGATGTGTGACTCGTTCTGCTTCCAGCTTGCTTATTATTACCAGAGGAAAGGCTGGAAGACTTGTCTGATCTGTGCTGACACCTTCAGAGCAGGTATGTGTTTCTTGAGCTTCTATCCCTCTGTTGAAGCCACACCTCCATTTAGCTGTATTGGAATGAGAGTTGTTCTCTTCTCTGTCTAAGGTGCCTTTGATCAGCTGAAACAAAATGCTACCAAAGCCAGAATTCCCTTTTACGGCAGGTGAGTGATGGGCCCTGGTTCTGATCCAGTTTGTTGTGTTCAAGCGCCCTTCCTGACTAACCTGCTGTTTGTTATGATCAGCTATACAGAGATGGATCCTGTTGTAATTGCTGCTGAGGGGGTGGAGAAGTTCAAAGCTGAGAATTTTGAGATCATCATTGTGGACACAAGTGGACGACACAAACAGGAGGACTCGCTCTTTGAGGAGATGCTACAGGTCTCTAATGCTGTGGTGAGTACATGCACTGCCCTGGATCTTTGGCTTCTGTCTGGAGATAATAAACAGATGTGAGGATGAAATCAGGTGATTGAAACTGTTGGAAGTGGTCTGTGATTGGTTCCTGAAGGCAAGTGTGATCAGACCTGTGGAGGTAGCTTCTCCAGGTGGATTTAAAATCCTCCAAATTGTTTTTTTTGCTCCCGTTTCCACAGCAACCAGATAATATTGTGTATGTGATGGATGCATCAATCGGTCAGGCCTGCGAGTCTCAAGCAAAGGCCTTCAAAGACAAAGTGGATGTAGCATCCGTGATCGTTACAAAGCTGGATGGACACGCCAAAGGAGGCGGAGCTCTCAGCGCGTAAGACCGTCAACCTTCTGTTGGATGATGTCACAAAGCATGTCTGATTTGAAGTTGTTTGTTTATGCTGCTCTACTGTTTCCCGACAGTGTGGCCGCCACCAGAAGCCCTATAATCTTCATTGGGACCGGAGAGCACATCGACGACTTTGAGCCATTCAAGACTCAGCCGTTCATCAGCAAACTGCTGGGTACGAAAATGTAACCTGTTGGTGACCTGGTTCTGTCTGAGGGACGGACTACAAAACCAGATTAACCGGAACTCCTCCTGTCTTTAGGAATGGGAGACATCGAAGGACTGATTGACAGAGTGAATGAGCTGAAGCTGGACGACAACGAGGAGCTGATCGATAAACTGAAACACGGTGAGAAAACGACCCCACCACCACCACTACCCTGAACATACAGCAGGCATGATGACTGACCTTAGACCTCTGACCTGCAGGTCAGTTCACCCTCAGGGACATGTACGAGCAGTTCCAGAACATCATGAAGATGGGACCCTTTGGACAGATAATGGTAACCTGAATCTCACTTAAACATGAGGTGAAAGAACGCTTAATCCTCGCTCTCGTCTGGGACTGCAGTAGGGCTGGGCGATATGACGATTTTAGGCCGTTTTACGATCTACACATCTGACGGTCTGTCATTTCTGAGAGACCTTTTTATCACCATTCACAGCTGTGCTGTTGAAATTCTGCCTCTGAATGAAAAGGGAACTTACCTCCGGCGAATGACACGCCTTTGTTTGACCCTTAACCAATCAGAGTGAGTCATGGTAATATATTAGTGCCCTGCTTGTTTTCACCTGTGTGTGAACAAACATGGCTTCGGCCGCGGCTGAGAGCGACAACGAGGTTTTCGTTCCGAAGAGGAACGCCTCGTCCATTATATGGAACTGGTTTGGTTTTTCACCAGACGACAAAGAGCAGCGAAACGTCGTTTACAAGGAGAGCGTCAAGGCAAGTGATGGCAACACCACAAACTTGTTTAATCACTTGAAAAGAAATCATCCCAAACAATACAATGAGAGCCAGCTGGCAGCTAAAGCTAAAAAGCCTGCGGCTGCAGCGGCTAGTGCTTCTTCCTGGCAGCAAACGCTAACAGAAACACAAAACTCACTCCCTACGGCAGAGACGGCAGACGATGGAACAGCGTGACAGAAGCAGTGACGTACCACTTGGTTAAAGATTTGTGTCCCGTGCGAACAGTAGGAACATGATAAAAACATTGGATCTGCGCTACGAGTTTTCCAGCCGCAAGTATTTTTCGAACACTGCCATTCCACGCATGTACGCTGAATGCAAAGTGAGAGTTGCAGAAAATATTCAGAATGCACAGTTTTTTGCTACTACAAGCGATCTCTGGTCCAGCCGCACATCAGAGCCGTATTTGAGCTTAACTATCCCCTACATGAGCAACTGGGAGCTACATAGTATTTTGAACAAGTTAATGTTTGCGCAATACGTTTGCAATTGACATGTTTGCACTTTAAATATGTTTACGATTTTAATTTATGTTAAGTTACTTGAAAAATGAGAAAAACTGATTTTTGTAATTGTTTCTCTCAGGGCTTTTATCATCTCTGGAGTGAGTTTAAAATATAAGTGTGTTAGCACTGTGTTGATTATCCCTAATATGAATAAATGTTTGTTTATTCAATGTTTCTCTTCTTTAATACGCAATTGAAGTTATGCTATTCATTGATAAAAAAATCGTGATAAAATCGAAATCGTGATAAAATATTGGAAAAATCGTGATATTCTATTTTTGCCATATCGCCCAGCCCTAGACTACAGCGTTTAACACCCTGCTGCTCCAGTGGGTGGAACTGGTTCTGGACATGAAAAAAACAGAGCTGTGGTTTCCCTTGCTGTGTCAGAATCTCGGTGTGTGTGTGTGTGTGTGTGTGTGTGTGTGTGTGTGTGTGTGTGTGTGTGTGTGTGTGTGTGTGTCATTGTGCTAACTTCGTGTGTGTGTGTGTGTGTGTGTGTGTGTGTGTGTGTTTTAACTTCATGTGTGTGTTTTAACTTCGTGTGTGTGTGTGTTCAGGGTATGATTCCAGGTTTCGGCACAGACTTCATGAGTAAAGGAAATGAACAAGAGTCAATGGCCAGACTGAAAAAACTGATGACCATAATGGACAGCATGAATGACCAGGGTAACACACACACTTTCTAATTCTCACACTTTTTATTTTTCTGCTGGAGGTGTAGACCTTCAGCTTTCTGTAAAAGAACAACTCTGGCTCACTTTAGTTGTTCAGATCTACACGGTTTTCCTCTACAGAACTGGACAGTAAAGACGGAGCCAAACTCTTCAGCAAGCAGCCCAACCGGATCCAGAGGGTGGCCCGTGGATCAGGGGTCGCCACCAGAGATGTTCAGGAGCTTCTCACTCAGTACACAAAGTTTGCTCAGATGGTCAAAAAGATGGGAGGCATCAAAGGACTATTTAAAGGTATAACTGGGACTTACTTCTGGGGTAGCCATGGGTTGTTATTTGGTCATAAGAGTTGAGGCTCGAGTTAAAACAGGAATTTGCTTGTCTAAAAAAATAAATAGCTTCTCGTTCCGAGGAGCTTTTTCAGTTCATAACAAAAAAAGCAAAGTTTCAAGTGTTCAAACCATATAGAATTTCCTGGTTATTATAGTTGAAGCTCTTCTGTTCACTGTTGGATTTTCACATAGCTGTTTTCGATGTAGGGTTGTCACGGTGTGCAAATGTAAACTCACGGTTATTGTGACCAAAATTATCACGGTTTTCGGTATTATCGCGGTATTTTTTTAAACGTGTTACGTTTTCAGACAACTAAATAAACCCTGTATATCAGGAGAACAGTCCTCAGTTAGTGTCTAAATTTTGCCTAAAATATGTTATTTTGTAATTATGTTGTTTATTTGTTTACATTTTCCCCCTTTAGTCTTTAAAATAGCAATATTTGCCCATAACTTATTTTATGTCTGTTTGATGTCATCATTTTAAAAATATTAGATCAGATGATACTCAGTACTCAAGTAGCCTTCTAATCAGTTACTGTTTTACCCTTACTTGAGTAATAAACCCTATATCAGGAAAATATTGTCCTCGGTTTGTGTCCTTCCTGTGAGCTTTGCAGATGTGGGAAAATGTCATCAGGCAGTAATCGTTGTTAAATTCATAATTATTCTCGGAGAGAGACCAACTCTTATCTGCCCCTGGGAGCCCCGTAATGCATCGCGTCATTTCAACATGGGGGTGTCCGTGACACGGTTTATATGCAGGTAGCGGCGCTGCGGCTGCTTTATATAGCGACTCGTTGCGTTCTCCCTCAACCCAAAGCCTCGGATCACGCATTTTAGCTAAAACGCTAAAGTCAGACCATCTCTCTCTGCTCCTCCTACCTGCATACATACCACTGAAAAAAAGAACAAGGCCAATTATTAAAACCATTAACACTCTTACAGATGAAGCCTTGGCTCAACTGCAGGACTGTTTTGCTCACACAGAATGGAGCATTTTTGAAAATGAGGATCTACAAATTTACACAGATACTGTGCTCTGCTATATCAAACATTGCATGGACACTGTTATCATTCACAAGCAGGTTCGGATCTACCCTAACTGTAAACCCTGGATGACGAGTAAGGTCAGGGTACTGTTAAAGGCACGGAATGCTGCATACGCGTCGGGAGACCAGGCAAAGTACTGGCGGGCAAGGACTGATCTTAAAAGGGGAATCAAGGAGGCTAAAGTGAGCTACACCAAAAAGCTGTCGCAACATCTGTCTGCCAGCAACCCAAGGAGGGTCTGGGAAGGACTGAGACATATTACCAAATACAAGGACAACAGATCTAGCACTGAAATAGGAGCTTCATTAGCCGAAGAACTCAACTATTTCTTTGCTCGTTTTGAGAATACCAGCTTCCCCACAACTAACATCAGTCCTATAACATCACCCGCTGAGTTTGGATCAGATACACAAATACTCAAACTCCAAGAACAACAGGTTCGAACCGTGTTCAGGGCTGTTCATCAGAGGAAAGCGGCTGGTCCTGATGGTGTTCCTGGCAAGGTGCTGAAGTACTGTGCAGATCAGCTGTCCATGGTATTCACCAAATTATTCAATCGCTCCTTGTCTGAAGCTACGGTTCCATATTGTTTGAAATCAACAACAATAGTCCCACTTCCCAAGTCTACTACAATCAACAGTCTCAATGATTACAGACCCATAGCACTCACACCGGTGGTGACCAAGTGCTTTGAGAAGCTGGTGCAAAAACATATCAAGGACTTCCTCCCACCCAGCATGGATCCCTGCCAGTTTGCATATAAAGCAAACAGGTCTACTGAGGATGCCATATCTAATGCTCTCCACTCCTCTTTGCAACATCTGGAGAACCCCGGCACCTCCGTTAGAATGCTTTTTATTGATTTTAGCTCTGCTTTTAATACCATAATCCCGAACATCCTTGTAGCCAAGTTGATTAACCTGAACCTCCCCCCTACCACCTGTGGCTGGATCAAAGATTTCCTCACCAATCGCCCACAGGCTGTCAGGTTTGGTGACAAGCGGTCATCCACTCTGATGCTCAGCACTGGTTCCCCTCAGGGCTGTGTGCTAAGCCCCCTGCTGTTCACCATCTACACCCATGACTGCATTCCTATTCATCGCTCTAATAAGATCATTAAGTTTTCAGATGACACCACTCTTGTAGGTCTTATCCATAACAACGATGACGCAGCATACAGAGATGAGGTTTGCCATTTATCAGAATGGTGTGATGATCATAACCTCTCTCTTAACATCAAGAAGACCAAGGAGATGGTTATTGACTTCCGAAGGAGTAAGGATGCCCCCCGCCCTCTCTGCATTAAAGGAGCTGAGGTGGAGAGAGTTCCCTCCTTTAAGTTTCTCGGGATTTACATCTCTGAGGATCTGTCATGGACAATCAATACCACTGCCTTGGTCAAAAAAGCACAACAGCGGCTGCACTTCTTGAGAGTCCTGAAGTGGAATAGGCTGCAGACCAACCTCTTGGTGTCTTTTTATCGAGCAGTCATTGAGAGCGTGATGACTTACGCTATCCCTGTGTGGTACGCGGGGTGCACAGTAGCTGATAAAAACAGATACCAGAGGGTCATTAGAGTGGCGGAAAAGGTGATTGGATGCACCCTTCCCTCCTTGGACACTATCGCCCTGTGGAGGTGTCTCACTAGAGCAAGGACCATCTCCAGGGACATTTACCACCCAAACCACTACCTTTTTGCCATGCTGCCATCTGGGAAAAGGTTCAGATCCCTCAGCTGCAGGACCGACAGACTGAGGAAGAGTTTCTTTCCCTGGGCTATTAGAACCCTGAATGGACAGAAAAATCAACCCTATTGATATTATTTATTGTATTTTGTAATGTTTTTGTTTTTTATTGCATGGTGCATATTGTACTTGTTTTAACTATTTTTCTTAGTATTTTTAGCGGATGCCTAATGTGGAGCTCTAGGAAATTTCGTTGAATGTGCAATCATTTAATGACAATAAAGGATATCTAATCTAATCTAATCTAACGTTAGCTTGCCTTGCGTTGACTGTAGAGTTGTGGGTGATGGTCACGCAGATGTGTCATGAGATTTGAAGCGTTGCTGCCTTTCACAGACACTTTTTCTGCATGTGCTGCAAACAGGATAGCCATCTTCTATAAACTGTCCCTCGGCATTCTTCAAATATCCAAAACATGCCCGTACTTCCCACTTTGTCTTCTTTGAGGGATAATAAATGTCCTGAGCGCTGCCGTCTCCTCCTTTGGCCATTATTTCAGCTTTAGCTTCAAGAAAGTTTTGGTTGTAAACAACAAAGTGCGCATGTGCTGCCAGCAACTTCAGCAGATGATACGGCGGCTGGTAAGGGTCACCGTGCCTACACCGCAGCCATGGTAATCCACTGAGATAATATATTTTTTAAAAAACAAGATGGTTATTATTGTCAACTTTTTTATCTGGGTTTACCGCTTCACCGGTTACCGTGACAACCCTATTTCGATGTTTGGAACTTGGACAGCTCCTTGGAGCAGAAGTGAAACATCTTCAAGAACAAAGAAGTCCAGTTGTGCCTTTTATTGCCGACCTTGTGGAACTGAGAGTAGCACTCCTAATACTTAGGACGTAGCATACAGGTGTAACATGTTGCATGTGTTCATGTTGCAGTTTAGGATAAGGAAGGACACATCAAAGGTTGGTGATGTTTCAGATATTTGTTGTTTTCAGGAGGAGACATGTCCAAGAATGTGAACCCATCTCAGATGGCCAAACTGAACCAGCAGATGGCCAAAATGATGGACCCTCGAGTCTTGCACCACATGGGTAAGACCTGGTCTCTCTCAGTACTCGCAACACCCTCTGACTAGGGCTGGGCAATAAGTTGAAAATGTATCATAATTGAAATTTCTGACTCTTCTAGATAATGTTTTCCATGTCAATAGATTGGATGATAAAAAAAATGAAAGGATGTGTGTAGGTTGGCAACGTTCATGTCCCTTTAAGACCAGCGGAAGCGCTGGCGCTCCCATTTGCATTAGGGCCCGACCGATGTGCTTTTTTTGGGACCAATACCGAAATAAAACTTTTAACAAAGGCCGATTGCCGATATAATGGCTGATAAATCTCCCTCACAAAAAAAAGAAATAAAAATAAAAATTTTCTTAAGCTTAAACCCTTCATTCTCTGCCTTTTTGATGCAAACTTATTTCTCTATTACACACCAAAGAACTGTCTCAATAACTCATTAGGGTTTCCAAGTAATGCAAATAAGATTTATTTAGCAGATCTCAAAAACAACAGAACACACAAACTCAGTCCCAGCTAGGGAGAGGAGGAGGGACTCCCTGCTATCACAGCGCTTCATTGCCTTGTTGCCCCCCCCCCCCCCCCCCCCCCCCCATCCTCAGCAGCGACAGCGGTCGTGGGAGTTTGAAAAGTCTGCTGAAGAAGGGCGGATGAAATTGTCTGAGAATATTCCAGAATGTCATTGTCGTCTTCCTCCACTTATCCGGGTCTGGGTTGTGGGGGCAGCATCTTAACTAGGGAGCTCCAGACCGTCCTCTCCCCGGCCACCTCCACCAGCTCCTCCGGCAGGACCCCAAGGCGTTCCCGGACCAGATTGGAGATGTAAACGTGTCCTGGGTCGACCCGGGAGCCTCCTGTCGGCAGGACATGCCCAAAACACCTCCCCAGGGAGGCGTCCAGGAGGCATCCTGACCAGATGCCCAAACCACCTCAACTGGCTCCTTTCGATCCGGAGGAGCAGCGGTTCTACTCCGAGTCCCTCCCGAATGTCCGAGCTCCTCACCCTATCTCTAAGCCTGAGCCCAGCCACCCTACGGAGGAAACTCATTTCGGCCACTTGTATCCGCGATCTCGTTCTTTCGGTCATTACCCAAAGCTCATGACCATAGGTGAGGATTGGGACGTAGATCGACCGGTAAATCGAGGGCCTGGCTTTCTGGCTCAGCTCCCTCTTCACCACGACAGATCGGCTCAGCGTCCGCATCACTGCAGACGCCGAACCAATCCGCCTGTCGATCTCCTGATCCCTCCTATCCTCACTCGTGAGCAAGACCCAGAGATACTTAAATTCCTCCTCTTGAGGTAGGACCTCTCTCTCGACCCGGATTTGGCAAGCCACCCTTTTCCGGTCGAGAACCATGGTCTCAGATTTGGAGGTGCTGATCCTCATCCCAGCCTCTTCATACTCTGCAGCGAACCTACCCAGCAAGAGCTGAAGGTCAGAGCTGGACAAAGCTAGGAGGACATCATCATCCGCAAAAAGAATGTCTACCAGAAAAAGGCCATCGTTACTTACTTACTGCCCTGCATGACTAAAGCCTGGTTTATGCTTCTCCGTCAGCTCCGCGAGGGACAGACACGCACGGATTGACGGAAGCGTTTTGCTCTCATACTTCTCCGTCTCCTGGAGAGTGTTGCAAAGCAATTGCCCGGCAGGACCACAGAGGGCGTAGCGCTGTTCTGTGGTATCCTGTCATGTATCAGTCCACGATCGTGTGTTTATATTGTGTTTTTTGTGTATATAAGAGACTTTTAACACGGACATATTTGTCTCTCATTCTCCCACCGCTTCATACGCTCCCCACCTCTAAACCCACGTTTCCTGTCATTTCCGTCCACAAATAAAACGCTTGCTGCGCATCTTTTCACTCCTCCAGTCAGGGGAGAATTAAACGTTCATGTTTTTAGAGTTTTTTCGTGAGGCATTCTTCAAGCTTCTCCGTGTCTGCCGCTAGTTAAACTCGGCTCTCTTTGCAATGGCAGCGCTGTAAACAACAGCGGCGTCCTGACCAATCACAAGCTTGCGTAATCCGTCTCGTTCGACGGATGTTTAAAAAAGTGGGCTCGACTCCGTACATAGTTGCGTGCCTGCCGGATCCCTACGCAAGGACGGATAATGGCGTTGCGTGTCTCCGCACTGACGCAGACGGAGAAGCATAAATCAGGCTTAAAGGGGAAGCAGCGTGAGCTCTGCATAGAGCATAATGCTGCGGCAGGTTTTTTTTTTTTTTTCCAGGTAACTTTTCAGTACAAGGCTACGTGGCACACGATAAACTTAGGAAGAATGTTGAGGGGAAACACTTTTGTCATTGCTTATTTTACTGTTCAACTTACCACTGACACAATAAATATGCTTAAAACTGAAGACTTACCTCCTACTTCGTCATCACCATTGTCTCTGCTTGACTGAATTGCTCGTGCTGCTCTGCTGCATGTGTGCTGTGACGGTGGCTCCACCCCCTGAGGAGTGGAGCCACACGAGTTAATAAAGCTGGCGCCATCTGCTGGATAGGTAGCGCAATATCTGCCATATCGGCTGTCTTTTTGGCTGATGACCAATAGTGTTAATGACCCCAATATCGGCCGATAATATTAGCCGGCTGATATATCGGTTGGGCCCTAATTTGCATATCTGTGTTCAAATGCTTGTAGAACTGAAACTACACTCAACAAAAATATAAACGCAACACCTTTGTTTGTGCTCCGATTTTTCATGAGATGGACTTAAAGATCTAAAATTCATTCCAGATACACACTATTACCATTTCTCTCAAACACTGTTCACAAATCAGTCTAAATGTGTGATAGTGAGCACTTCTGCTTTGCTGAGATAATCCATCCCACCTCACAGGTGGGCCACATCAAGATGCTGATCTGACATCATGAGTCGTGCACAGGTGTACCTTATACTGCCCACAATAAAAGGCCACCCTGGAATGTGCAGTTTTGTCTCACAGCAAAATGCCACAGATGCCACAAGCATTGAGGGAGCGTGCAATTGGCATGCTGACAGCAGGAATGTCAAATAGATCTGTTGCTCGTGCATTGAATGTTCATTTCTCCACCATAAGCCATCTCCAAAGGTGTTTAAGAGTATATGGCAGTACATCCAACCGGCCTCACAACCGCAGACGACGTGTAACCACACCAACCCAGGACCTCCACATCCAGCAGGTTCACCTCCAAGATCGTCTGAGACCAGCCACTCGGACAGCTGCTGAAACAACTGGTTTGCATAACCAAACAATTTCTGCACAAACTGTCATAAACCTTCTCAGGGAAACTCAACTGCATCGTCGTCCTCATCGGGGTCTTGACCTGACTCCAGCTCGTCGCCGTAACAGACTTGAGTGGGCAAATGCTCACATTCGGTGGTGTCTGGCACGTTGGAGAGGTGTTCTCTTCACGGATGAATCTCTGTTTACATTGTTCAGGGCAGATGGCAGACAGCTTGTGTGGCGATGTGTGGGTGAGCGCTTTGCTGATGTCAATGTTGTGGATCGAGTGGCCCATGGTGGTGGTGGGGTTATGGTGTGGGCAGGCATCTGTTATGGACGAAGAACACAGGTGCATTTTATTGATGGCATTTTGAATGCACAGAGATACCGTGATGAGATCCTGAGGCCCATTGTTGTGCCGTACATCCATGAACATCACCTCATGTTTCAGCAAGATAATGCACGGCCCCATGTTGTAAGGATCTGTACACAATTCTTGAAAGCTGAAAATGTCCCAGTTCTTGCATGGCCAGCATACCCACCGGACATGTCACCCGTTGAGCATGTTTGGGATGTGCTTGACCGGCATATACGACAGTGTGTACCAGTTCCCACTAATATCCAACAACTTTGCACAGCCATTGAAGAGGAGTGGACCAACATTCCACAGACCACAATTGACAATCTGATAAACTATGCGAAGAAGATGTGTTGCACTGCATGAGGCAAATGGTGATCACACCAGATACTGACTGGTTCTGAGTCCCCAGACCCCCAATACAGCAAAAAAAAAAAACACATTCCAGGGTGGCCTTTTATTGTGGGCAGTATAAGGTACACCTGTGCACTACTCATGATGTCAGATCAGCATCTTGATGTGGCACACCTGTGAGGTGGGATGGATTATCTCAGCAAAGCACAGGTGCTCCCTATCACACATTTAGACTGATTTGTGAATAATGTTTGAGAGAAATGGTAATATTGTAGCCTAGTGAACTAGACCAAATTCTTGCTTTGCAAAGTTTGTAAATAAATAATACATTTATTTAGTCTGGCTTGCCGGGCTAGTAATATTGTGTATCTGGAATGAATTTTAGATCTTTTAAGTCCATCTCATGAAAAACCAGAGCAGAAACAAAGGTGTTGCGTTTATATATTTTTTGAGTGTATATAAGATGGAACAAACATTCTTTTTGCATATTAAACCGGAGGAGTTGCTCTTATCTCTCACACACTGAACATATCCCAGAGCGCTGCGTATTTCTGCCAATGAGTTTGCAAAAAACAACCAAAATGCGCAAATTAGAAAAGCCTTTTCATTCGGACACAGACGCTGTTTCGTTCTGATCTGCAGCTCACAGGGCTTCACACGCTAGAATATATGTCATCACATCGTCAACATGAACTTTGACATGATTATCACTCACCCAATCATTTGCTTTGACGTCATTTTCCCACGAATTGTAGTTCTTTGTAGTCCCAGTCTTTCGGCTTTTTCTTGTGCTTTTTTGCAATAGTACGTTTAGACAAACACGTCCTACACACATCACACAACAGCATGTAAAAATGTAAATATAAGTTCTGGCGAACTTGTTTTATGGCAGGTCTTAAAGGGTTAAGAAGCTTTACCACCTCGAGTCAAGTAAAAATGTGACTCAACATAACACATGTGACAGCCCCATCTAGTGGACAACTTTTGTTTCTGCGCATACCCGCAGTTGTCATCCCTTTATCGTTATCGAGGTGAAATCCTCATATCATGATATTGATTTTAGGCCATGTCTCCCAGCCCTATCGCTGACTAAACGTTCATGAACTCATGAGGCAGCGGCTGGTCAGCAGCTCAACATCGTGTCTCATGTGTCTTTGACTTCATGATTTTCTCTCTTGTTGATGACAGCAACAGGTTCTGGTACCAAACACAGATCAGATGGTTCCGTCCACTCATCAGGAGGATGAAATTCTCATTAACTGTTGGATGATTGAAGATTTTTTAAAAACTGGATCAGTCACCAGATGTTTGTCACCTTATATAGTCACTCTAGTTGTGTATTATATGGTCACTTATGGGCCATTCCCATCTGTACCGGGTCGGCCCGGGCCGGGTAGCCCCAGTCGGCCCCAACCTGGCCCGGTTGATTCCACACATCCTTGTCTTAAGCCCATGTGGGCTGATTCTACCCACCAATCAGAGGCTTGCTCTAATGGAAGGTGTGAATTTGCTGTCAGCAGTGGGTGTGTTGGCCCTGGTCGGCCTGAAGCAGACCCCCTCGAGAAGAGGGCTGAGAATGAGCCTTGGTTGGCCCGGAAAAATACCAGGCCACCCAGATATGTAAACAACCTACGCTACCCGGCCCGGGCCGACCCGATACAGATAGGAATGGCCCATAAAAGCCTAAACAAACCCTTCAGATAAAGATTAATTTTGTGGAAGAAAATGTTTTGACTTTGTTAAATTGTTTTGACATTGGCTGAAGTTCCTCGTGCCTTTAAACACGCGGTTCTACAACCAATCTTGAAAAAAACCCGGCCTTGATCCCACCGATTACTCTAATCTACGACCAATTTCCAAATTACCGTTTTTATCTAAGGTCCTTGAGAAAATAGACTATGCACAGTTGATGAAACATCTAAATGAATATCAGGTAATGGACATCTGTCAGTCTGGTTTTAGACAACAGCACAGCACTGAAACTGCTCACGTTCGGGTGTTTAATGACATTTTTCTGGCTTTAAATTCAGGTTTCCATGTGGTTCTGGTACTTTTGGATCTATCTGCAGCATTCGACACGATCGATCATGACATTTTGATCACAAGACTTCACACTTGGGCTGGCATTTCAGGCACAGCCCTGGATTGGTTTAGGTCATACTTTTGTAACAGGTCTGCTAGAGTCATGTTGGACGGCTGTTCATCCGAGTCACAGCCTCTACGTTGGGGTGTCCCACAAGGTTCAATTCTCGGCCCGTTACTGTTCAACCTCTATTTACTGCCCTTAGGAGCCATTTTCAGAAAGCACGCTGTCTCATACCATCTTTACGCTGACGACTGTCAAATCTACTTTTCATTTAAGCCAACTCAATCAACGAAAGTTCTGTCTGATTGTATCCTTGAGGTCAAGCAATGGCTAGCTGATAACTTCCTCCATCTCAGTGACTCCAAAACTGACTTAATCGTTTTCGGTCCTTACAGTACCACGGCTACTCATCAACCTGACCTCAGCTATCTCTCACCTAATGTATCCTCTGTAATCTCTAACCTTGGAGTAAAAATGGACCAGGCTCTGAAGATGGATGCCCAGGTCAATAGCACAGTTAAATCATGTTTTTACCACCTAAGACGCATCTCGAAACTAAAGCACATCCTGAGTGTCCGTCTTCTGAAATCGGTGGTCCACACTTTTATCACCTCAAGGCTGGATTACTCCAACTCCTGCTTATATGGCATCAGTAAAGCAGCTCTTTCTAGACTTCAGCTGGTCCAGAATTCAGCAGCTAGGTTGCTGACTGGAGCTGACAGAAGACAACACAATTCTCCAATTCTGAAATCTCTCCACTGGTTGCCCGTGCAGTTCAGGATAAACTTCAAAATTATGCTTCTCACTTACAAATCCTTGAACCATCAAGCTCCTCCATATCTGTGTGAACTTGTCCATTACTACAACCCGCCGCGTGCTCTCAGGTCTGAAGATAAGCTCCTCCTAGCTGTTCCCAATGCACGTTTAAAAAGCCGTGGAGAAAGGGCTTTCTCTGTCTGTGCACCGAAGCTGTGGAACACATTACCACTGCTAGTGAGGCAAGCACCAACAGCTAGCATTTTTAAATCACGCCTGAAAACTCACTACTTCAACCTAGCTTATACCACATAATTATGGACCTCACTTACATCTGCACTTACATCTGTTTAAAAATGGACTCCACAATTATCGACTTCCGTATTATTGAGGTTCTTTTTTTTTAAATGTTTTTCTAATTTTTTATTCACCCTGTGTCTTATTGATTTTTAGCTGTTATTTTTGGGAATTTTGTTGTATATCCTTATCTTTTATCTGTGTTCGACATGTTTGTATAACGCCGGTTTAATTAACTAACATTTTTAGTGTACAGCGCCTTGTTTGGTTGTAATGCCTTGTGAATGCGCTTTATAAATAAAATTGGATTGGATTGGATTGGAAATGATCTGATCTCCGTGATCACCAGGTTCAAAAATGTAATTGTCAGTCATTCCACCAGGATACTCTAGATGCGTAACAGCTGATGCCACTGGTGAATGATCTTAGATATCACCAGATAGACTGTGCATCTCCAGAAAAAACACATTCTTACAGGGACCTATTGTTACCCTGCAGGTTTTAACGCCAAAAGTTTAAACAAGACGCTGGAAACATCATTTAGGTTGGGTGGATTCTGTAACCTCTAGCCAATCATCTGTGTTTGTGTTTTCAGGAGGAATGGCAGGTCTGCAGTCAATGATGCGTCAGTTTCAGCAGGGAGCTGCAGGAAACATGAAAGGCATGATGGGATTTAACAACATGTGACCCTCCGCCAACCAGCTGCCTTAATATGAATAAAAGGTTTTGCCTCCAGCAGGTGAAAGAGTTGAGGCATCCTGTTTTTGCTGCTTTGCACCAACAAACGAATTACGATCTCTCTCTTATTAGACAGATGACAGGAAAACAGAGTGGATTTAAAGGAGTAGTTCAACACTTCAGATGCTGTTCTCTATCAGAGAAGCTCCTGAAACGATCCTTGAAACTATCAGTAGTGAAGATTTATGGGCCTCATTAATTTTGTTGTGTAAATTATTTGTGTAAAATTTTAACAGCAGCATCAGTTCTACATGAGCTGGTTATTAAAATGGGGATGACATTAATTAGTGACAGTATTTTTATCATAATAAACATTTGTATGCACCATTGTAAACTTGTTTGTTTATTTCAGTAAATTAGAATCTTAGCCAACC